CGGTTTTGTAAAAAGCAAAAGAAAATGATAAAAACTTCAAAAATTAAAATCCTTTGAGATGTAGTTATGTTACTACATCTACTAGTTAGGAAAATTTAAAAACTTAAATTTGGACATGTTTTGCAAAAAGTGTAGGGAAAATGTAAAACGGCTATAACTTTTGCATATTATGTTAGAAAAAAACGTATAATATATCAAAATGTTTCAAAAATTAAAATCCTTCAAGATGTAGTTATGTTACTACATCTACTAGTTAGGAAAATTTAAAAACTTAAATTTGGACATGTTTTGCAAAAAGTGTAGGGAAAATGTAAAACGGTTATAACTTTTGCATACAATGTCAGAAAAAAATGTATAATATATCAAAATGTTCAGCACGAAAATCCGCATCCGATGGAGACCGCCTACGGCCTGTTTGAAAATTATTAGAATCCTCAAATTCTAAAAGGAAAAAAACTTATGCTCAAATTTCAGTTTTTTTAATTTTGGTCAAATCTGGTCAAACTGTGGTCAAACTACTTATTCAAGAAGTATTAGTGTTACTAAATAATTATTCAAGAATATTAGTGTTACTAAATAATTATTTCAGTTTTTTTCGAATTTTGGTCAAATCTGGTCAAACTTTGGTCAAAATGTGGTCAAACTCCTTTTCAAGAAATATTAGTGTTACTAAATAATTATTGTTTTTTAGAACAATAGTTTTAAACTCAAACAGTGAAATGTGTGACTTCATGCTCAAGCTAAACTCCCGAAGGTTAATAGGATTGACATCTTACTATTGTCAGGAAAACAACAAGTGCAGACTTGGAATCGAGGGAGAATAGAACTCGAAAGTTAAGCGTGCTTAGGCTGGAGTAGTGAGAGGATGGGTGACCGTCCGGCAAGTTAGATGATTTGGAATGATGAGGGGTGATTAGAGATTAAATTGAGTAGCGATGAGGGTGATCAGAGATTAGAGGTTAAAATAATTCAGAAATATGAAAATTCGGGCAAAAAGTTTGATTTTTTTTCAAACCACGGGTTAGTAGTAGCGCGGGTTTTTACCCACGCTACTGCTATACGTTAGCTGTAGCGCCTTATTTGTAGCGCCGGCCCGCGCGCTACGAATAGGCCCAAAACCCGCGCTGCTGCTAGGCTTTTCCCTAGTAGTGTAAGTTATAGAGAAAATTATCTATATCTCAATACCAATTATATACCATATGGAAAAATATTTCATGTTGAATCTATTCGTATTGATTTGGTGTTTTGAATGTTAATAAGTTTTTCTATAAACTTGGTCAAAGTCTACAAAGTTTAATTTTGAAAAAAATATATCGAGCACACACTATATTTTGTGACAAAGAATATGGAACAGTGCTACAGTTATAAACGACGTGTTACCTAGTTGTCCTACACTCTATTTGATGTTTGTCCTATGGATCCCTTTAGGAGCTAATCTCCCCGCTTAATGTCAACTGAACCTCACCCTAGACTTTAATCTCTCCCCTGATTTTTCTCCACCTCCATAAGCATATGATTTTCGGATGGCCTGCATGTGCGGGGTCGGAAAAATCACACTCCCTCCATCTAGGTGCATAAGGAATCTAAGGAGCTGCATTGCAACCTAGGTGCATGAAGATTGGATGAAGGATATTACAGCAAAGATCATTGGCAATAATAACTCCAATTTGGCCTGCTTTGAAAATTGGGAGGAGCCAACCACTATGTTGGTTTTCCATGTCGTTAATTCTTAAAGAGCTTGTCGTTAATTCTTAAAGAGCAACATGCAAATCCTATTTAATGCGTCATCCAATGAAATATGAGTTAATTGCAAAAAACAACCACATTTGCGGTCAGGTTTGCAGAAAAACACCAAGTCGTTAATCCATTGCAAAAATCACTGCATCCCGAGTAAACTTTTTGCAGAAAGCACTGATCGCTTGCTTTGCCCCGTTTAATTGTGTTTCCGACAGGTGGGGTCCAATTGTAAGGTGCTGACTTGGCTAAGAACTGAGAAACATACCCCTGGATATAAAACAAAAATCAATCAGACCCACTCACGCGCCGTCGCAAAATGAGAATAGCAGAATGCAGCACGAAAATTAATAATCACAGGGAATGAGGAGCTTTTTCCACGCTTGGTGACTTATATATTTGAAATACTAAATTTTCATTAGACGCCCTAGTACGCATGAAGTACTACCGGCCATCTGCCATGGTCGAGAAGTTGTACACCTATAGACGTATGATAAGTTGTTCAGATTTCCATGACAATAATGTACAAACGGCACAACCAGCTCACATAGTGCCAAAATAATTGCATTATTGGCTGCCTACTGTGTGCCACGCACACAGGCTAGAAGTTCCTAATGCTTGACAATGAACCAACACTTTAATTACGAAGATCATTGATATAGGAGTTAGTATGCAATACTTATGGCACATCTAAATGTGCTTTAGCAAAATTGTTTAACTCATCAGAGCAATCGAGGAAAACGTTATACTCCCTTAGTTTCCAGATAGGTTTCTATATTTTCCCAACAATACATATAAAAATATGAAGATAAACAATACCAAATCAATACCTATACATTCACCCTTAGATATATTTTCATAATATATTGTTGATATTTCTCTTCTATATATTTGGGAAAACTTCAAAATTATTTTTTAACTAAGTTTATATTTCACCTATTTGAGGATAGAGGGAAGCAAACGATTGGCACCAGTGGTTCCTCCTCCTTGTCCTCTTATATATCCTCCCATGGGCGTTTCAACTGTGCATGCATATAAAGTTCAATAAAACTGTGCGTACATATACGATATGTCTTCCTATATCGAAGAATTTTCTATCACTCATGCTTTCATTGATATTGCCATCGAGTATATCCTGGACGGAGCTACTCCTCAGCTGCCTATCCATATCCATCACATCATGTACTTGAGTGAGTATTCTTTCTCTTCTGCCCTGCACGCAATACCCTAGATCTCATAGTGTATCCCAGTCAGCCAAGTGGCCGGCACTACTGCAGTGCGGCACCCATTTTAGTGCCAGCTATGCAATTAAGCTAGGTAATTTCGTGCATCCTCACCCACACCCCCTCCCTTGCTTAAGAGGCTCACATCAACTCGATATATGTACATCAACTATTTTTCTGAACCACGCAGGAGAATTGTGTTGGATTAATCAAAACAACGGTATTATACATGATGGAAAGCATGGTTGTAGTTGTGTTGAATTAGGCAAGTACTAGTTATACGTGTGGGAGGTTCTAGTGCTAGTGTGGTTAGGTACAAGTGTGATCAAGCTTGTC